AGGAGGAGGAGGAGGAGGGTGGAGGAGAAGAGGGAGTCTACCCATGTGTCAAGGTCCTGGCATTGGGCTTGATTTGCTGGCTTTGAATTGTTGTGATCATCTCTGGTCCCCCACCTTCCTCTGAGGACACACCAGGGAGGACATTCAGGCCAGGCCTTTCCAGGTCAAGGCAGTGAGCGGACTGCGATGCAAACCTCTGCCAGGAGCGCATCTGGCCCTCCAGGGCGGGTGAACCCCTTCCATCCGATCAGACTGGTGGCCATACACTCAGGGGAACCCCGCCACTCCCAGGGCTTGGCCCAGCGGGTGAAGCAGATGAACACACCTTTCTTTCGTTCCAGATGAGAATTCACCGAATAAATCACACGCGTTACCCAGACCAGGATTGTAGAAGCCTTTCATTTTTTTTTTTTATACACAGAAATTTTGGTCTATTCTTTAATTAGGAAATTCAACTACAGACTTTAAATTAGTATGCATCTGTGGTCTTCCTCGTTAAGATATTTTTTTTTGTTCATCTTTATAACAGGCAGATAAAAATGTAAAACATAGTTAATAACTGAACACGGTTGACCAAGCCATTCCATATAATATAATGTTTTATAGAGAGGGGCTCCCTGGTGACACAGGTCCCTCGGTCTGAAGACGACAGAAGCCAGAGCAATGAGCCGAGGTCACAGCCCCCCCGTTTCTGAACCACACACCCCACGGAAAGGCAACCTAGGACTAAACAGTCGACATGTACAGTAGGCAACTTTGTACAGCAGCAGCGAGGGTGCTTTAAATATATATGGACCGTCAGTTCTACCAGTGTGTCTACAACAGAATGAAAAGAAGCCCATGGGTGGAGCGAGATGGAGCTCATCTTCTTCAATTGAAACGTTTCCAACTTGACTTCTTTTAAGAACACAGACCCTCACCGAATTGAGTTGCCCTTTTTGTGGTGGTCGAAACAAGGACATAGGGGACAATGTACACATGGGTGACATTCTCGATGTGCCCTTTGGAAGAAAGGGATGGCTTTAAGTTATCTGGAGCTGGCATTTGAAGTGGGATTTTCTTTTTTAACCGAAATTCCTTTGCCCGAGGTTTGACTACTCCTGCTCAGGGGTGACTTGGCATCCATGCTAACGGTGCAGCCCGAGCGTGTTTTGGACGCCAGCGCGGATGCTCACGACGCAGGTGGTAAGACGAGATCCAGCCGGTGGGGAGCGCGTGGGGGGTGGGGCATGATGGGCGGACCAGCCTTGCCACCAGTCCAGCTGCTGCTCAACTGCACCTGCAGTTTCCATTCTGACCCTCTGTCCCTCAGTCCCCAGCCGCCCCCCAGTGGCTCAACCCCAGGCCCCAGTGACAGGCACACGGAGGAGCCATGGTTGGACCCTATCTCCCTGGGAAACGTGAGACAGGTGAATTCCGATGTTAAAAGGATCTCTGCTTTCTCTGTATTTCCCTCCCCGGCTAGGGTGCATTCGGGGAAACTGAGGCTTGGCACACTGGGTGCCCACACTGCAAGGAGAGGCTCCCGAGGGAACCATCTGGGGAGCCCAGGCCCAGCTCTCCACACCTGCAGATAGGTGTTCGGCCCACGTGGTGAAGCTGACCTCCTCAGCCTTCCAGACTCACGAGAAAGCGCCACAGGTGGGATTAGAGCAACTGCCACGAGGGGCCGTGGCTCCTGGGGGCTTTGCCTCGGCATCTGGTTCCCTGATGTCGCTGTTAGTGGCTGCAGACACAAATCCATGCTGTCACGGGTCAGAGTTGTTGAATGAGAAGACTGGGGTCGGAAGAGTGCTAGGTGGGTTGTGACTGAGAACTTTCCGAGCAGCGTTATGGGCGCCTCAGCAACAACTACTTGGCATTTGCCAAAAAAGAATGGGAGTCCGGTGGGAGGTGCGAGAGGGCTGGGTCCGTATCGCAGCCACGTCAGCTCCTCTTGGGTTTTGATGGTACCTCTTCCTCCACTGGTTTCTGTCTGATTCTTGTCACTCCTCCCCCCATTCCGGGTCCCCACATGGGGTCAGAGGCAGCAGGGGGCAGAGCTCTTGAACTTGGATTGTAGACAGAGAAAGCCCAGCGGCCAGAATTCAGCACTTGGAATTGGAATTGAAACCAAAGGAAAGTGAAAGCAAAATGCCCCCTTCTACCTCCTGGGAGGGATCATCCTCATCAATACTTTGGTATTTTCCTTTTAAATAAAAATTCCATCAAAAGGGTCTATTTTTTCCTCTATAGGCAGGGGTCTCAAAGTGCAAATGTTCCAACGGTAACCGCTTGCATCTCAACCTCGCCCTTCCTCTGACCTGCTGGGAATCGCGATGGTGATACTGCCCGGGATGGCGCCAGGAGGAGGGGGGAGACAGGGGAGGAGGCTGGGAGCCCGGGGCAGGGCAAGCGACCAAAAAGCGATTCTTGCAGTCTAGTTCCCTGAACAAATTAACCTGCCACAATAAATAATGAAATTTCAAAAGAAGAACATCTGATAAGAGCAACGGAAAGATCATGCCGATAAATAGTTCCTTATTCTTTAAATATGCACGTATAGGCCTATACGCACACGCACGCACACAGACTGCATGTGTCCCGGGGATGGGATGCTTGGCGGTTCGCATACGTTTGCAGGCGGCTCTCTCGGGCGGGCGGGCTGTCTGGTGACGGGCATCCTTCCCAACCTTGCAAAGCAGTGCTCGCCTGCTTTCCTTTTGCATTGAATCTGTTGCTCCAATGGCTCTCCAGTGGGTGCAACAAAGTTGCCGAGAAACCAAAACCAACCCCGTGCCCCCACCGCACAGCCCAACGACAGAAATCTGGTGGCCCTGTAGTGTTCATTAAAAAAAAGCTTCGATAGAAAAAAGTGGGGAACACGGCTCTTCTTGTTCTCTAGTTTTTCCTTCCTTCCTTCCT